CTGCCACTCGCGCGGATCGCCCGGGGGATACGGCGGGGAGTGTAAATAAAACCCTGCCTGTTGCCTTGCTTTCTGCTGCTGCCTCGAAGTGCTTTTGCTCCGTGTTTTCCTGGCAGAAGCGTGTAACCCAGGTGAAGGCAGAGAAGGGAGGGTTGTTTTTATGAATGGGACTCTTTGAGGTTAATTAGCTATGCAAATTCAAGCAGTTCATTCATGATTTTTTTTTTTTTTTTTAAACCTAAAAGCCATCTTGTATTCCCCTCTAGGCTGATTGGAGTCCAGCTCCCGAGGAAATCTCCAGATCAAATGCCCAGTAAATAAAACACTGAGCTAAGACTTGTGGAAGAGCTGCAGAATGGATGGATTTTATGACCAGCAAGTGCCTTACATGGTCACCAATGTGAGTGATCAGTTCAAAGTTGGTGTTTTTAAACTTGACTCCGACTTATTTCTGTGGGGGAGTTTTGCAGCCAGAGTATCTGCTTTGTTACCGCTGTAGGGGCGACTCTTCATCTGGGAGCTTTGCCTGCAAGATGAGCCTGTTTTCTTAGTTATTTCAACAAAGCATCATGTTCTTTTAAAGACAGTTTTGGGATGATTAAAAATCATGGACATGATTAGTGGATGAGAGAGGCAAGAGCAGCAACAGCTGCATTCAAAGTTTCTGGCTGCGTTTGCCTGCAACGCTCAGAAGAATGAAGTTGAGGCAAACGTTAACATTTTTTTTCCCTTTTTTTCTTTGCTTTCAGGACTTTGCAAACAATGTTACAAGTAACACAGGGAAACAAAGCAGTCTATTATAATCTCATATCTGGGTTCTCCTGCGTAGCTTATGCAGAGGGGATTTATGTGCCATTGTGTAGGTTTGTGTACTTTAGACGCTAAAAATACATGGTTGGTATTGTGTTGCTGCTTGAACACATTATATATGTATCTGTACAAATAGATGTCTACATAGATAGATAGAAATGCATTGCATTTAGACACAGCAATCTTTTGGAGGATGTTAGGTGCTCAGCAATATCTTTTGCAAGAAATTGGAGGCTGCAAGATGATCATTTCCCTGTTTGAAAATGTAAAGTATTCATGCTGGCTTTGAGTATTCTTGATTAAATGAAAAAAACCCCCAACAAACCCCTCAGATTTCTAAAGTAACTGATCTTTCCTGTTTATAGAATCCGCGTGGGAGAAACTGTAATGAGAGACCGACAAATGTCAGGAAAAGAAAATTCATTAACAGAGACCTGGCTCATGATTCAGAAGGTGAGGGCTTGCTCCCCCCCCCCCCCCCTTCCCCCCCCACTTACTAATGCAGAGAAGCTTTTTGAGAGCTATTTATTTATTTATTTTGGAGATAAATATATCTAGATCAATCTGAATAAACAAGACAAGAAAATTGCATTTACTACTGCAAAACAAACTGGCAAAGGCAATAAACTGGTAAAGTTGCCTTTCCTTGACTTACCCTGTTGCATTTTAGGTACTGCTGCACATGTGGCACATGGATGTCATGCACTGAGGCCAAGCCTTTGCAGCATCTGACACGAGTCACAGCACCTGGCTTTTTCACCTTCAGGCCTCTTGAGGTTCAGGGCTTTCCTGTATCTTTTAACATCCTTTTCACTGGTGTGTGTTCACTGGTGGTAGCAGGAGAGAGAATGCCGGTGTGGAGACTGTTGGTTTTCACTCTAGCGCTAGTAGTCAGGCTCCTGGTGTCTGGTAGCCTGTTTCTATTGCTGTGTAACACCGGTAGGGCTAAAAATCCGGGGAAATTTGGTTAAGGAAGTCTAGAGTGGATGAAGTTTTGGAGGGCCAAAGATTTGTAACTTAGTCTCATCAGTAGCCACTCACATGATCGTAGCTGGAGAACTGTATTCTAGCAATAGCTGTTAACACTTATTTAGGTTACAAGGTCAGTATAGATGCTACGCCTACACCTCTATAAGTATGTATGACATATAGGAAGGTATATAGGGACCTACAACTTACCCCTATATAAACCTTATCAGGGTGAGGACACATTGATACACTTTTCGAAATCCCTACTTACTTGTTGGAAAAGTTTATTCTAGGGTAGATTGAAAAGAAAACAACTTTCTGATTTTCAGTTAAATGATTTCCCAACATGAACACGAGGTATCAGTCCACAGGGTAAATGAATAGCTTTTGTCGTTTAAGTGTATGTGAATAGTTATCTGTCAGCATTCATAAAAGAGGAAGTCTCTCTCAAAATACAGTAAATTAAAAATAAACCATTTGTCAGTTCAAATATCCTACTTAGTAAACAGAATTTTCATAACTGAGTTTCTGAGCTTTGCAAGTAAGCCGAACGCTGCTCTGGTTTACACCCATTATAAGCAATTGATTTCAGTGAATTGCAAAAAAGATAAGCTGCTGCAAAACTCAGTGCATGGAGAAAGTGGTTTCACTGTAAAGAAGTACAGTGAGTACAGCATAGAGGAAATAGTGGTGATTCTCTTGTCATACAAAGTAAAACATAAGGGGAAGTACAAAAGATTTCCCGTTTCTGTTTGCTGTTGCAGCATCTCAGGTCTTTGCTTCAAAATTTTTATATGATAGTTACGACCCCACTAATAAAAATACTCGGTCATTGCTCAGGCAGAACTCCCGTTGAAGTCCGAGAGAGCTTTATCTGGGGCAGATATTGCAAGAGGAGGCCTGAATTGTATAAGGAGAAATAGTTCACCTGTAAGAAAGATTATAATTTTTAACTTTTCTGTGTATTGCTGAATGAACCTTTTATACTATAGAGCTTGGTTAAGATTCTGGTTATTATTTCAAGAGTTGATAAAATAATACAGTAAGTACTTCTTTTTTATTAATAGGTGTAGAAAAAATCATTAACTGCAACCCGAAAATACCTACTTTGTACGTTTGACTGCCAAAATAGGATTCACATACATTGTTCTTCAGGAAAAATATATTTTCGAACACATTTTAATCTTATGAAGAGATTAAAGGTGTGAGTTTTTTATCCATGTCTTCATCTTTTTGCAGAACTCTTTCAAGATCTGAGCCAATTACAGGAGACATGGCTTGCAGAAGGTAAGGGAAAAAACTGCTTGTAAAAAGAGGAAAAACAACTCTGGAGGGGGAAAAAAAAAAAGTCCTGAACTTGCTGTCTTAATGTTCAGCCCAATTAATTGAGCTCTAAAAGAGCCACCTCATGTGTCATGCATACATTAGAGCCTCTGATGAGTTTGTCTTTGGGGACTCTGGGGCTGCTCTACCCAGTGTCATCACAAATTACCAGGAGAAATTGCTTCCAGCTCACAATCACATCTGCTTTTGGCAAGAACTAATGCACCAAGACTTCAAGTTCTAAGCCTCTGTTCAGATTTTAATTGCAATTGATCAGGTTTATATTATTGTACCTCGAGAGACTACATACAGCCAGAACTGGGCTTGCTGTTTCCTTTAGAGCAGCACATGTAATTATTTGGTGTTCTGGTGGAGTACTTTTCTGATGGCAGAAATTAGTTTCTCTGGGTTCATCGGGACGGGATGCTTCAAGATTTAAGTGCAAGTGTCTTCTTTCCACCTTGTTCACAACACAGAACATTAGGTGTGTATGGAATACTTAAAAAGTACTATTTCTTTTTTTTTTTTTCCAGAAGCCTTTAAATATTTTGCATGTTATTTTTGTCTTCGTATTTGTAGTTGTGGGATTGTGTACTGGGTGATTAGAAAACTGGCATCGGTCTGTTTTACACCTGCTTGTGCTTTTAAGTGTTTCAAATAATCTTGCAGAGCACATTCTACTGAAGAGAGAATGTTTAAGAAAATAATGTAGAAATCTGAATTTAGAGTAGCTGTTGAGAGATTCATTTAACAATAACAAAAAGTGAGCTGCTGCATTAAGAGAACTTTAACAAAATGCAAGGTAGCTTTCTGCTTGTTGAAGTGTATTTGTTCTCTTCAGCAATATTTTCTGATTTTTTTTCTTCGATATTTAGAATACTGTTTTCAAGAATAAAGATTTTTATGCATTGTCCTTAATATTTCTGGTTGAAATTTTTATGTAAACTTCTGCATCTGACATAAACATGATTTTGATGCAAGTTAACATAATCTCTCCAAATTTATCCTGATTTAAATGAATGTGATTATTCACATATGTTGAATTTTTATCATGCACAGTTGTTTATAGAATAGATGTTATGCTTTTTTGGGAAAGGATGAATGTTGGGGTGAACTGCTTGCTGCTGGTTTTCATAGAAAGAGGGAAATATTGCTGATGACTACTTGCCTACATACTGATTTTGTTTTAACAGCTTTATGTATAGTTAGTCAAGTTCTTAACCTATAAGTAAGTTGTGGGGTATTGTTTATTTTGCTGACATTTTTATTGTCCTAGTATTATTTTTAGCATGTGGTTATTCTGTATATAATCAAGAAGTCCTCTTTAAATTAATGGATCAGAGGATATATTTTTGTGAATTAATATGGTTCTTTGCTAATAATTGAAAACAGAATGTCCTGTACTAAGATCATTTTTTGTAGTATAATGATCAGATACAACTGTAACTGTCTCCCTGTGGTAATTTTCCTAAGGATCTCTCTATTTTGTATCATCTCATTCATTCTAACAAGCCAGAAGTATGTTAAAATACTACTCAAAAGATACTATTTTTTGATGGAGAGAAGAACTTTTAGTTTGGTTTTACACTGGCATGGATGTTTTTGTTTCTAAAATGATTAAATTTCTTTGATCAGAAGTCAGAAAAATACAGGCAGATTCATAATGCATGTGCAGATAATAATGTAAGTTTGAAAAATAATATGGAATGTAAAACTGATTTAATCATTTCTGTAGGTACATAAATTACTGTAATGGCAATTTTTATTCTGGAGGCACTGCTTATTTTAGACTAGAATGAATTGTTTGAAAGCCTTTTATTCTCTTTAGCTGAGTCTATTTCACTTAATAAATTTAGATAGGTTTTGAGAGAGAAAGGTGTCTAGTCCTGTGTCAGCTAGGTTGAGGAACCTTTGTAAAAGCAGATAGCATCATCTGGTAAGTATTTAAAAATGAAAGAAAAAAGTTGCCTTTTCATTAGCAGAGGCTAATAAAGCTAAAGAATGTTATATTTTTCCACAGCATATTATAAATAAATATTATGGATTTTTCAGTGTTCTAGAAATATGTTAAGAAATCTGTGTGTTTCAGGCCACGCCATGGTTTTAGCTGTTCCATAAAACACAAACTTTGCACAGCTTTTCTAAAGGCTAAACTAAAACGGAAATAAAAAGTCAAGATGAGAAAATCAAATATTGAGCTATTAACTTGATCCCAAATTTTTATTAAAAAAAACCACCCAAAACATCTTTTGGTAGTCTTTATAATCTACTAGTGTTTGAGGATATTGTAGCTCTGCTCAAATGTCTACATGGTTGAGCTTAGCCAGGAAACAGATTTTGAAATCAGCCTTGTTTACCCATTGCTAGATGTGTCCATTTATGTTCTTCTGGACCTTCATAGGCTAGAAGTCTGCCAATTTGGCAGCATCAGTAATGTTTACATATTTCTTTTCATAATGCTCTGGAGCCAGGGAAATGACCATGAAATTTTAAAACATCTTGACCCTTTTTAAGAAAAGCAGTGGCAGCTGACCAGGTTTCTCCCACGAGTTCAGATCCCCACTGGGGAGTAACCAGGTCAAAAATCTACTTATTAGTTAGGAGAAGAAAGTGAGTTGCATTTTATGACACATAAAAAATGCTTGTGGATTTTTTTGTTTTGCTTTTCCTGAAGCTATCCTTGCTACATCACGTATTTTAGCCTGGAGATTTTTACAGTTGGTGTCACCTGTGACAAGTTGGTGGTAAACAAGTAAACGGAAAAGAAATGTATTCTTTTCCGATTGAAAATGGTGGGAGGTTCACATGTATTAAAGAATTAATCCAAAATGTAAACAATTCAGTAACCTCTTTAATATTTTATTACTCTATAATTAACAAGCTGAATACTACTTACAGAAAACTTACAGATGTATTCCACTAGCTGCATACTAGATTTTTATGGAAATGAGTTTTGCTTCTTACTCTGTGTAGTATTAAATATGTAGGAAAGAATCTAAATTATTTAGATGTAAAACTTACTCTGAATAAGGTTCCCTCATGTCCATTGTTATGCAGGACAGAAGGTAGTTTATAACTGTTTCCTGATGCCAGAAATTGAAAGTGGGAAGCCTTTAATAATTGTTTCAACCTTCAAACTTGAAAGGAAATAGTTAAAATTGCCTATTGCTAACCAAGGCAAATATTATTCAGATATTATCTTTTGTTTTATATTTAAATAACTTGATGGCAACATTTTGTCATGATAATACTATAAAATGACTTTATTGATTCTGTATATTTGGAATCAGATTGGTTTTGGCAGATAGCAATTGTTCGGTGACTTGAAAAAAATGGTTCAAATATTAATCTAATGTTATCTCATCATGGTAGCTGTTACTTCTTATTCTGGAATAAAAAGAAGAGAGAGAACAAATTCTTAGTGAGTGAAAGTCTCCCTTCCATTGTGAAAGCATTTGGTTTAAGCATTTAGATTGTCAAAAACCCCAGATTTTTATTTAAAATAACTCTTTCAGATACAAGTTTCTCCTAGAGCTTGTTAAAGATACGTAAAAGGCATCCCAAGCAAAGACAAATAACGAATTTACGCACTAGATCTGCTTCTTAGAGCAATAGGTAATACGCTTCTCAGATGGTAATAAACTGAAAAATATAATATTATAAAAATATAATGTTCTTTGGGTCACTTGAAAAAATACAAAAAGATTAAGTGAACAGTAAGTGGTTTGAAATAATAGCTACAGGTAACGGGTTCATGCCTCTACTGCAGCTTAGCTAAATTGAGTGGATGGCTACTACAAGCTACCAGTATTTGAAAGCCAGTTCTTGGTATCTGAAAGTAAGTTGTTTCTCTCAAATAATTCATACCCAAATTTGGAATGAACTTTAGGAAATAAGTTTCTGCCCTCTGTTCTCCTATCATGAAGGATGCACAAGCGTCGCAGTGATGTCTAAGCTAATGTTGACTTCTAGTTTATTTCTTAAATGAGGAGGTATGAAAATGAGTAGTTTCTAGTTCTCAAAGGATTATTTTTAATTAAAGAAAGTAGTAGATCTTCAAATATTAGTCTAGTTAAAGTGACTTCATTTAGGTCGGTGAAAATGTGTAGCAGCTTACTTTGGCTAACTAGCTTTCTTCTGCCAAAAAGCTGTAGAATTTACCCAGTGTAAGGCAAATGCTGTGTAGCCATATTCAAGAACTATCCACATCTTTATAGGAGCAAAAATAATCAAGAAATGCTAATTTAATACCTCTGTGGCTGAAATCTGTCTGATGGGGACAGCCACTCTAAAAAGCAGTGAAAAAACTTTCATTTTGGAATTTGTAATACAGAGAATAGCTGCTTTTTTTTTTTTTTTTTTTTTTTTTTTTTTTTTGTATTCTAGTGAGCTGACAGATTTGGCTTTCAAATACTCATAACTTTTGATCTTAAGTATCTGTGCACAAAAAAAGGAGAAAAGTTAGATTAGGCAAAATGGGGGGGGAGAGAGGGGATTCTGTTTTAAAAAGAAATCCAAAAGGAATAAAACCACCAGAAATCTACAAGTCTGAAAGTCTGTGTAGTAATAAACTTTTTAACGTTTTTCTTGTTTGCTGGAAAAGTAGATGCCTTTTACTCAAAATAATAATTTTCAAAGGCATAGTGCAGTTTGTGAACCATGAGGGATGTAGCGAAATGTTAAATATGAGTGTTCCTTTTAAGCTAACTTTTTTTCTCATTTTTAGTATAGCAGCAAATGAAGAGCAGATTCTACAAACCCATCTTCATATTCCTAGGGATTATTCACATAAGGAAGAATTTTGAGATCTGGAGCTAGTTTTGAACTGCATTTAAGTTTATTAGTCAGAGCATCTCACTTTATGTAAAAAGGGTTTTGGGTTGTTTTGACAGCAAATCCGGTGCTTATGGGAAATAATATTTTTTACCATCTTGAAATTTGTCACTGTTGCCTTCTGAATGCTCCTTTGTTAGAAACAGTTGTTCCTGTGGAAAGGAAAAAAAAAAAAACCCCAACCAAAACCCCCCCCCCCCTCCCCCCGCAGCTCTTTCAGGAATACTTAAAATTTATACAATCTTTCAGATACTCAGAAGTAACAATGAATCAAAGAAAATTCAATAGACTCATTACTGTTGAGACCTGAAGTCTTATTTTAGCTGAAGCCAAAATACTACTGTTCATATATAATTCCCTGTCAATTTCAATTTCTTTTGCCACTTTGAATAAATCATTGATATTTTAAAACGAATTGCTCTTAGCTCTAAAAGTGAAGCTTGAGGTCAGAGAACACAGTAACGCAGGAAGTGTTCTGCTACCCAAAATAAAGTTTTAAGTGAAGCAAGGAGGTTTGCAGCTTCTTGTTTTTCTGGAAAGTTTCCGTTTTTTAACAGGAACACCTTTCCCTTGAGTGCAGCTGAGCTTTTGGAAGCAGTTTGTGATTGGGAGAAGGAAGAGTTAAATTTGAGCCCTGTATAGTTCGCTTAACTTTTCATTTATTAAATACGTTCCTCAGCAGGTCTGTGCTGCATCTTGAGACAAAGCAGTGAAATCAGTGTGTTTATGCCTAAAGTTCAAGTTTACTTTGCTGTAGCTTTCTGGAAGGGTGTGACATGAAAAGCTTGTGGTTGGGGCCACATGGTTCATGCTGGACTGTGTTTTTGTGAATGGAGGCAGAACTCCAGTTCTGACTGCTTGTCTTGAGGAATTGCTTCGGAGATCAGCTGTCTCATTCACTGGCAGAAAGAATGACTCATACATCTTCTGCCTTGTTTGGCTCCAGGTCATTGTTACAGTGGATAGAGCTGGTTTTAATTAAATATTAACTCCTTTTGTCCTGGATGCTTGTTAATGGGGACTTTTTATTTTTGTTTACTTGCAATGAAAGCAAGCTAACAGGCCCTAGTTTTAAACTTTTTTTTTTCCCCAGATTGCTTTCCCTTTGCAAAATGAGCTGTCAGTTCAGCTTTTCAAAGGCTTTTTAAAGCTCTAAAAGCTACAAACAAGTATTAAGTATTTTTGTGCTGTGAATGTTTGCTTTTGGCAAACTGATTTTAACTCAGTAGGTAGTGAAACTGTAAAATCTAAACTGATAACATCCTCAAAATCATCATTAACATTTCTGTACACTTCCCAAATCCTCTTGAGACATTATAGCTATAATCAGAAGAAAAAGAAAGCTTTTGGTAATAACCTAGACTGAGCTGGATAGCTTATGCTGCAGATGTTGTCTACTTCAGGAGTTTGAGACTTGATGGCTCTGAATGTGGAATGAACTAATGTAGCTGCTTCTGCTATTAGCAGTAAAAGCCACGTGCTTAATATCCTTCAAAACCTTTTATTAGTCTTTTGGAATACACTTGCCTTCTCAAACCCCCATAATTAAGTAGCTCAGGGAAATATTCTCATTCAGTTAGATGATCATTTCAGATACCTTTTTCAATTTTCCTCTGAATGGCAAAGTGAAAAAAAAAAAGTTTTGGTCATTTATGCATTGTGTCTTGTGTTGAGTATGTTAACAGAAGACCAATGAAGATTTTATGGCAGCCTTGCTGAATTGCAGTATTTGTGAATAAAAGAAAAGAGGAAATGAATGGCATACGCATATAAATGTGCAGACAGTTGCAACACTGCAAGTTACATTTTCCTCTCGGACATTCAGGTTGAAGTGTCTTTACCTGTCTGTTTAATTTGCTACAAAGTCTGTCTGTAATTATCCAAACTCAAGGTACCAAAGCCCTCTTCCCTTTGTGTAATGGGATGATGTATCCCAACGATATGCCCTCTCACAGCAAGATGCTGGTGGAAGAAGTCTACGTATTGGGCTGATGATGGTTGCTTGCATTTCTGCAGTATGATCATGTCCGAGTTTCAGTTCTGCTAGTTTAAAAATAATATCAGATTAAACAAAGGAATAATTTAAGTTCTCATTTCCAACAGTTAGCGGGTCCTTTTAATTTCTTTGTATAGGCTTGTGGGCTCGTTTCTAAGGTACTGATGCTACTAAAATTAGATTCCAGTAGGAAATGTATGTTCCTGGGTTGAACATTCTGGATGTTGTTACTTGTTTTGTTTATATTTGGCAGGGTTTTAAACACTTCTTAACTTGCTGTATTCCTTTTCCTACAGAGGCTTTTAAGGCTATGTCAATATTGTATTTAAAATACATTTGATGGCATAATCTCCACCTATTTCTAGAGCACTGATAAAGTGATGCGCCTTGATCTCTATTGAATATGCCTTCATAAATTTTGGGGATCCAGGATTCAAGTATATTTTTCTTGTTTACTCCAGACCAAATTAGGGGTAATGACAGTATCTCTAAAGTAATATACTGGTTTTCCATGACAATTCAACCGGATGTATTTTATTTTTTCTTGCTCTTTGGCTGGAAAAAAAAGGACCTCATTTACTGATATATACATATATCTCTACAACAGATTTGTTCTGGAGTAAGTCAAGTTAAACTGATAAAACCAGAATAAAACATCAGTAAAGCAGTCCAGTGTGCAGAGTGCGCTCTAGAAAGTTACATAAGATTGCTGTCCCAGTTTTGCAATCACTAAATGTAGCCTCCCAATTTCA